TCAAATCCTGAAGATTTGAGCTCTGTGTCTTCACACCGCCAAGGGGTTTCCCCTCCCCTCTCAGCTGTGTGAAGGAGTGGAGGTCAAATATTCAGGATCTGAGCTCTGTTCCTACTCATCGCTGAGTGGGGAGGGGATACCCTTTGGGTGGTTGGAAGGAACGGAGCTCAAATCCTGAAGATTAGCTCCATTCCTCCAGCCACAGGAAGGATTCCCCGTCCATCCACGGAGGGGCAAACCTTTTGGCGGGCTTTAGGAACATTTGAGAGCAAAAGAGCTGCTTGCTGGGAGGATTTCAGCTCTATATGGAGCTGAAACCATCTGGCAGGCAGCCCTTTTGCTCTCAAAGAGCTGCCTGCTGAGAGGATTTCAGCTCCGCACTGAGCTGAAATCCTTCAGCAGACAGCTCTTTCGTTCTGTCCATTTAGTGACCCAGGAGACTGCTTAATGACTGCGACCAGGAATGCCCGGATTGCAGTCATTGAGTGAAGCAGTCACATGGGCATCTTGCTTAATGACCGCTTTGCTCAACAACCAAGATTCCAGTCCCAATTGTGGTTGTTAGGCAAGGACTACCTGTATTCAGGTGTTTAGAGATATCTGTTTGATCATTGAAAGAAACAGGAGGCTGTGACTTCTGGGGAAGAACTGGTGGACCGAAGATGGCTCTACAAGTAGCGAAGCCGACAATCACAGCAGAATGAAGAGCTGGCGAGTAGACAAGGAGAGGACTTGAGATCACCCATAAGTGCTCCAGACAATTGCTCCTTCTGAGGAGACCACAAGATGGTCTCTGGCGGGTTTAAAGCTCTGGGAGATGAAGGAATAGCCATCTTGCTCAAACTGCAGTTAGCAACTTTGAAAGGACACTGTGTTCACATAATTCCTTTTCTAATCACTTTTGGAAATTGCTTGTTAACTGCTTTTCAGCCATTAGGATCCTTTGGATCGACAAATTTTACAGCATTAAATATAAGTTTAAGGACTTAATTTTTTTTTTGGAATAAACAGCAAAAGTGTGATTAAATCTTTGATTTTAGAAAGTTACAAATGGACTAAGGGTCCAGATAAATTTGAAATAAGATTTTGGAATTAATTATAGGAATCCTTCTTGTGGGAAAATGCTTTTGTTTTGAATTCTTAAAAAAAAATAACATGACAGGATGGGATTTTGAAGGTTGGAACACTAGAGGAAACCAGAAGGAACTAAAGATTATAATTAAAGGAGAAGAACATTTAAATTTGACTTACTAATACAGAATGGAACAAAAATCCTTAACATTGGATGTATTGAAGGATATTTGTGAACAATGGACCCTGAAGTTAATTTTAAGAGTGTCTGCCTCTATAGATAGACTGTCCTTAAAAGATGTTATGGAAGAGGAACAAGTTTTACCAAACAAGACTGAGACTGATTTGAAAGTAGATTTAAAAATGACAGGCTACAAGAAGGAAATGGAAAAAGATCTCACACTGGACATACAAAAGAAACCAGTTGATGTCTTAATAATTAAAAGGAATATATAAATAACAAATCAAGAGACTGACCTGGATATTTTCCCTATATTGGATTTACAAAAGAGGCTTGTTAGAACTTTGAAGAATTTTGTGAGAAGAGATAAAGAAAAAATGAAAAGAAATCAAGTTCTAGGACATTATTTGAAGGGATAAAGATCAAGATTGTTGGAAGTACAGTGGTACCTCGGGTTATGAATTTAATTCGTTCCATGACTCTGGTCGCACCCCAAATTGGTCGCACCCCAAAGCAAATTTTCCCATAAGGCTCAATGTAATTACCATTAATCCATTCCGGCGTCCGCGGACCATGCGTCAGGGGTGGAAAAACGGCCGCAGACCACGCGGCAGGGGCAGAAAAACAGCTGCGGACCACCCAGCAGGGTGGAAAAATGGCCGCGGACCACGTGGAACGGGCGGAAAATGGCCGCGGACGTGTCACGGCGGAAAATGGCCGCGGATCCGGTTCGTAACCCGAGGTAAATTTTTGCAGCCGGAGCTGGTCGCAACCTGAAAAGTTTGTTAGCAGAGGTATTCGTAACCCGAGGTACCACTGTAAAAGGAAGGAATATAAAGTTGGTTTATTTGATTAAGGTTAAAATAGATATGTTGTTATCTCGGTATCCCTTAATGGATTTTTGCTGACATCAGGACTGAAATGACAAGGCTTTATGGATTTGTTTATAGACAAGAGAAGGGATATTGGAAGAAGAGATAATTTGTTGTTCTTTAAGAGAAGGTGATAAGTTACTAAAATTGTTTATACTTCTTGGGATGAAGAGGGAAGTCACTTCTTTATGTATTTCGTTTCTTTTTCTTTACTATATTTTTATTTTTTCTTTCTTTTCTATTTTTTCTCTTTTCTTCCTTTTCTGTACCTTCTATTTCTATTTTATTCTTTTTTTTTAGTTTGTATTATTTTTTATTGTTGTATGTGATTGTATTTTTTAATAAAATTACTATAAAAGAAAGAAACAGGAGGCTGCCTAGGCAATCTTCTGGCCTGGTTGAGGACAGCTCATAATCTAAAAATGCAGAACTGCTACCTCACTAAACAGATGTTGACCCAGCCATGGGAAAGAGGTCCTTAAAAGCCAGGAGATGCGAACATCTATAAAAACAACACCTGGGAATACAAATGATGAAACGGAAGGGAAGACAGTGGATTGCACATCCTATGTAATTATAGAGGATAAGATAACAGATAGATCTAGGCCACACCTAGCCCATGTTGCTACCATGAAAGGCCACACCTACAAGCAGATAATAGCGTAGGCCAAGATGTATGACATGAGGCCACAACGATCTGCTTCCCAGGCAAAACATGGGAAATAAGCAAAAGTGTTTATGTTAAATAAGCAATAGCCATCCAGGCATTTCATGCCCTCATTAGGTGATTGATTTGGGGAAAGATACTTAAAAGAAGAACATTGGCCAAGATTTACAGAGACTCAGTAAAGTTAACAGACTCAAAGAAAGAACAGGTAGGCAGGCAGGCAGATACACACAAATACCATCCAAATCCTTAATTCTGAAACTCTAACGGTGGTAAAACGAAAGCACCCTGCAAAGATCAGCATGTACAAATAGCCAGTCCCATTTTATAATAATTGTTCTGCTTCCTACCCACAAAGACATAGTAGGAGGCAACATTCTTGGCATCAGTATCCCAAAAGAATGTTCTGTAGGCATCAAACACAAAGTTACATCAGCTTCTACATCAGTTCATGAATCCAATAAGGAGCACAGGCAGGTATGGGGCAAATTCTAAATGCAGACAGGCACTGCTGCCCAAATCTCACCTCTAGAGATGAATTCACATGTTCAGGTTCTCAGTGGCTTGTTTTGCTTCCTAATCAAGAAGCCATTTTGTTCTTTCAAAATATAGGTGTGTATGTGTGGCAGAAGTTGTGTCTTCTCAGGTTATGGGAGTACAGTAACAATGCATAATTTCCTTAAATGCTTGCGTCATTGCAGACATACTGTATATCAGTGATTTCTTTGCAGATTTCACATTGGAGTTGATGGCAAAGGGAAGCTTTTGTGAGATCCTGTTATCTCAAATGGCTTGAACTCCCAGCAGGATCATTTGAGGATAACCAGGATATGAAGTTATTATAACACTCTCCAGTAATAAAATAGGATATAGTTCATAATTAACTGTTTTTCCTGAATTGTTTTTAGAAAGTCCATCAAATGTATTGCAATTCTCCCCTCTCTTTCACCTCCCGGCTGCAGACAGGCAGCTGAAGAAGGGGGAAGACTAAAAACAACATGTTCAGTGATGTTTTTATTCTTTTTGAACAGTGGCTGCTCCAGAGATGAGTGGTTAGCAGTGGGATTCTTAGCTTATATAAGAGAACAGGGGTGGAGGGCTCTTCCACAATGAGAACTTGCATGGGCTGTCAGAACCAGAAGCCACTACCAGGGCTAAATGTAAAGCAGCCCCGAGACATTTCATCATTTGTAAACCACAAGCTGCAGATGCAAAGATAAGTTGGCAAGGCAAATCTGGAAGCCTATACTGATTCACTGCCCAGCACATGATCACTGGCGTGATTACCCGCATAAGGCAAGCCCCCTTTCCCAGCACCAAACATGCCTGACTGGCCTCACCTCATCACAGGCTGCGCACCGAGGCTTGAGGCATTCTGCATGGTGCCGGCCACAATAAATCTTCCCGTCTTGATAGAAATAGATAAGATCCACCAACAGCTCATTGCAAACGCTACATATAAAGCACGATGGATGCCAGCACACCCCGTGGCCTGCTCTGGATGCAAAGACGGCTATGTCTCCTCCGTTGATTTGGCCTCCACACTGTCAAGATATATATAAAAATTAAAAAGGAGTCTGCTCTGACAATTCTTCAAGGTGAGAGGCGTTGAATAGTAACAATTCTCATGGCAGCATCTGAAAGAAGCTGAAATGGTGCAGTGATAAAATCAGCAAATTTCTTTTCTAGTTATTCACAAGTCAAGCCTTTCTCCAACTACAGTATCACAGGGATTGTGGCGATACAAAAGCAACTGCAATGGGACTGCAGAAGCTCTTTCATAGCATTTATTTATTATGAAATGATTAGTCCTTATTCACTCCCCAATCTGTTCCTGCATGGGTAGAGTTTGAAGCCAGGAAACAGCAACCAGAATGGTAGATCCTGCATCCATTCTGTTATTCTTTCCTTAGAGAGGAAGGTGGGGTAGGGTTCCTTTGATATAATACAAAAATCCAGGAAACTGAGAATTCACTCGCACTTATCCCTTCCCAAATAGAGAGGAGGGTGGGTGGGAGACAGGAGGAGTAATGCTACATTCTGACGGAATTCACGTAGTATGATTAACTGGTTACTCTTCTAGATTTGCATATAACATTGACTTAACCAAGTGGACTGGGTTCACATAACTTGCTAGCCCTAAAATAACATAAAATAATAAAAATAAATCAAGGTTAAATCAAATGTACATATAAAGCCACTAGGTCTTTTACTGACCTGGTTAACAGTGTTGTGTGAATCCAGCCTCTAACTGATTTCAGAGGTTTCTGCATGTGGTATATAAATAAAACCACAGTACTTTCAATCTCAGATTGTGGGTTGAACTTTTAACATTAAATATTTACATCTTGGGAACAGAAGGTACTACAAGACATGAAGCACTGTAATTTATTCAACCCTGACGGGTGGTATGAATAGCCTCCAGAGAAAAACCTCTGATATCTTTCTCACTGCACATTTACGGAGATGATAGTTTGAAATACTTAGCAATTTAAACTGTGGTATCCACTCTAGGGATCACTGCACATATTTAATTAATTTTTTTCCTCAGATTGGGAATTGGAAACTTGTGTATTGAAAGTAAGATTTGGAATGATCTTATTACATGGTTTTTACCAGGCTGCCACTAAATATAAACACATGAATCAGATCTGAAATGCAAACTGTCAATGCTCAGTGTTGCAATTTGTAATGCAAAAATGTGGAAAGTAGTATTTTACATTCCAAATGTTGTTCCAGGGTTTGTCTATAAAACCTGTTTGGTCTCTGTAGGATACCTAAAGCATAGCCCACTCCTCTGCATATACTGATGCATTATGCTGCATGTAACAGTCCTTCTCAAACTGGCACAGAGACATTCTTTTATTCCTTTGCCCTCCGAATGGTTTCTGGCCTAGCAATGTACCTCCTAGCCAGTATTTTCCCTGGGGATTGTGCAAGAAAAACTGTTTTTGCAGCTGGCTATTAGCAGCTTTAAACTAACACTCTCCCACACAGCCTAACTATCCACCTCCTAATGTTCCTATCCATGGGGACATTTTTAATGAGGAAGAATTCTTTGCAAGGTCAAAATGAAGAATAAGCCTTTAGCTGCTTTCCCCGTAATCTATTGTTCTGGCTTTTCATAACCCATGTTGCACAGTCGCTTTCATGTCATGGTGATAAGGCACTACAAACCCTATCCAGCAGAAAAAGAACAATGTGGTGAGAATGGTCTACCTGCTCGCAAATGGCTCCTGTCATGGTGACGGGGAATGGCCGAACATTGCCTCTGCCCAAGTTCTCTCTTTTCCTCTGATTGCTGAAGAGTTTGAGTTCTCTCTTCTCTTCTTCATCCAGTGAGTTACAGTATCGAACCTGGACATCAAGCAGTAATATTTTGGATTTCAGTAAAAGCTGTGGTTCTTGCTTTTTCCTCAAAAGTGCAACATTCATTATTTTTATCAGGATTAGACAATATCTGAGGGCCATGACCACATTTGGCATTTTGAGAGCATCAGTGATAGACATAAACACAAAATGACTCCTGTGAGATACTTATCTATTCATAAAATGACTCCCATGGCAGGCAAGACCAGGCACAAAATGGTCATTTTTCACAAGACATTCACCTCCCAGGATAGTGTCTACCATACCTCTGGTAACTGTTTCTTCATACGATCTTTCTTGGGTTATTACAAAATTATTTCACTGCCCACCATGTAACTAACAAGAACATTAGTACCTTATGATGTGTCTGCATCACAGCACAGTCTATGGGGCAATTACCTAGCTACCACTCTCACCCAGAGTCACTTCCTCGTGAGATGGGCAGTGTCTAAATTTGATATATATATATGTATGTATGTATGTATGTATGTATGTATATATAAATAAATACATACATACATACATACATACATACATACATACATACCACACATAAACCTAGACTGAGCACT